TGTAGCCAAAAATGTGGAAACCCTCAAGAGATGGATGGAAAAACAAAATGTGATCCCTCCATACAATGAAATATTCAATTGTGAAAAGAAATGAAGTACTGATACATACATGTTAAAATGTGGATGAACCTTGAAAACAGGCTAAGTGAAAGAAACCAGTCAGTCTATATTGTATGATCCCACTTATATGGAATGTCTAGTATAGACAAATCCACAGAGACAGTAGATTAGTGGTGGTTAAGACTGAGAGGGAGGGGGAATGAGGTGTAGCCATTGGGCACAGGGTTTTTTTTTTTTAGATGATTAAAATGTTTATGATTGTGTTGATGGTCGCACAATCCTGAATATATAAAAAACCATTGAATTGTATATTTTAATTGGGGAAAAAAAAGAATTTATCTCTGTCCTAATTTCTTAGAGATAAAGAAGTCAAATTGGCAGAAGGAGAGGTATTTGGGGCAAGAAGTTGGACCAACAGGCTGAGAAGAGGGAGAAAGTGTGGCTACCACCAAAATATGCCACTTTGGCATAGGATTATCTTGAGCTAAAAGCACATGAAATACAGCAGATGCAAAAGGGCACTCTAATCTCCCCTTTTCTTCCTGCAAATAAGGAATGAAAAACTTTCATGTGAAATATGTCCTCCCTGTACGAGGAGAAAAGAAACATTCTTTGATAGGGAGTCATAGCCAAGAAAATTCTGTACAAACAGACCTTGTAAAAATAATTCTTATCTTCTGTTAATCTCCACACATAGTTCAATTATTTTTCATAATTGCCTCTCTTCATTCAACCTAGCCTAAAGGCATTTTGCTTTTGCTGTTTCTTGGGGTCTTCATTTGCCTAGGAAGGCTCCTAAGTTACATGAAACTTACATTAAATACATTTGTATGCTTTTCTCCTGTTAATGTCTCAGGCCAAATTAATTCTCAGGCCCTGTCAAAGACTCTAAGAAAGTAGAGGTAAATCTTTGCCTTCCCCGTAGTTAATTCAGTAGTGCAGTGGTATCATATATTTGCTACTAATAAACAAATGCTGAAATGGATGTAGGCAAGGGAGAAGCCAATGAAAAAAGGCAGGTAAAGGAAGATCAGTGCGAAAACTTAGATACAACATATCTAAAGAAGATTATATCAGAGCATAACAGTCTTCATAATTTCAATTCTACTGAACATAAATTTGCTGTTTGCTCCTTTAATTTTGCAGACTCAACATTTTACATTAATGTGCAATTGCCTCAAGTTAAGACCTAATTTTTCTCAAACTTAAGACAAAAATTAGAATGGAGCTTTAGTTATCTCATATTCAAAAGTAATAAAGTATCTAGAAGGAGGTAGTGTGAATTTGACATTGAGTACAATTTTCCATATGTGAACTTGGACATAAGTACTCTCTGTCTTATTAATGTACTCTCCATCTTACTATCAGACCAAGCAGAGAGGAAGGAGTTATCACTATTCTTTGTACTTATTCTATAAACCAGAAAAAGATTCTTTAAAGAAGCAAAAGGAAACATAGATGGCATCATGTCTGAAGATGTTTTGTATATCACAGTTATAAACACTTAAATAATTCATTCTTTCTATTTCAAAAGAATAGTGTCTTTTTAAATATATGTTTCGGTGTCTTCTCTCTCCTACTTTTGCATAAATAAAATGTAAAGATCTAACCAGGCAAACCAAGAAAAAATAACTCTCCTAGTAAATCTATGTTACGACATTCGACTAGAAACATTCACTACATCTCATAATTCCGGTGAATAGGAGGTGAGTTTACTATTATCAGAAGTTCTTAGCCATCAGATATTTAAGCTGCTGGGGTATTTTTAGAGAAAAACAAAGTATAATACAGTAGTCTAAAAGAAGTAAATTATAGGAATTGATTCAAAGGATTCTCTGGACTATAACAATTGATGTGAACTGATACATTAATCCGTAAAGCTTGGCAGAGAGACCCAATTTAGTCTCGTTTCATTGCACTTTCTAAAACAGCTATTAATTTATTGTAGTTGCAACTTACTGTAATTTATTCATTTCCTTTTGTGAATATTTGTTCAATGTCTCCCTTTTGTGAATTCAATGTCTGTCTAACTCTACTAGACTTTAAAGTTTAGGAGAGTAAGGACAAGAATTTTTCTCTGCCATAAACACTCATTAAATGTTTGGTGAATGAATGAATAACTGATTAAACAAAACATTGTTAGAACTCAGATCACTTTCTCAACTCTCACCGTAGTGAGTGCCATTGAGCAAAAGAAACGTAAAAGGCAAGTGACTGACCTCTATCTTCTTCTCCCTAACTTAATTGAATAAAAATGAAGACTTTTAAAGAGATAAGTTATGCCAATTGTCTTAATTTTTTTTGGTATCAGTAGCCTCTTCATTTCATACACTATACAAAAGCACGGTACATTTGTACTGTGTTATTTGGAAAAGAAAATAATCATTGATAGCAAAGGCTGGATCCTAATCCCAGGGAGGTAAAATGGCTTCCTCCATACTTAAACAGCTCTTTGGTTAAGGAGCTTTCCTATAAATGTGCTATAACTTTTACACAGTGTGTTTCCATTTATAAAATACTTTCACATAATCTCTTTTAATCTATAGATTGACAAAGAAAATATTACACTACCTATTTATAATTAGCCATTACAAATACATAAACTAAAGCAGAGAAAAGTTAATGATTTGCCCAAAGTTGCAAAGTTATTAAGAGACAGAACCTTAATTCAAACTCAGCAATTCTGGCTTTAGTTAACCTTCTAACTTTTCCATGATGTTGCCTGAACTATGTGATGCTTTATTTGGATTTCATACTTCTTTAACATCTATGTATCTTGTTTCAACTTTATAGTAATAACCTGTTAGAAGAAAACCCTAGATAAATTAAATTTAGTGGTTTATTTGAGCAAAGAAATGATTCATGAATCAGGCAGCACCCAAAACCAATAAAGATTCAAAGAGCTCCACCAAGCAACCTGGGCAGGCAGTAATTATGGACAGGAAACGGAAATTACATACAGAAATAGCCTGATCCTTAGATATTTCCTTTCAGATGAATTTTTACTTGCAACCAAAAGTCGCAGTTCAAGATTATATCAGGTTATTAATTATGGAGTGTCCGATTTCCTTACGTACTAAGTTTGACAGCTGGTATCTCTGACATTTCACTTTAACACTTCTTGTTTTATTTTTATTGTGAAGATACATCCTCATTCTTTCAAATGGACATTTTGGCTTATGATTATCTTTCAAATTTTTTTAGAGAAAATTTTGTGAAACCATGGATAGATAAGAATAGTGTTATTTTTGAATATGGGTTCCATCATGGAACCAGTGCAGCACAGACAGCTCAAAATATCAACGAAGTGTTTGGGAAGGATGTAGCTAATGAACACATAGAATATCCGTGGTTTGAGAAGGTCCATTCTGGTGGTTTTAATCCTGAAAATGAGCCATGTGGGTGACCTGAAACCAAGGTGGATAACAATGAACTGAAATGATGAGCTGTAGTGGAAGCGAGTCCATTTCAACCTATGCGTGAATTAGCAGCAAGGTGTGACATTACTATTCCAGCAATATTGGACCATTTGAAACAAATTAGCAAGGTAAAGAAGCTGGATAGTTGGGTACCTGATCAATTAAATGAGTATCAGAAGAGAAATTGTTTCGAAGCTTGCCTTTCTTTGCTCTCAGGACATAAAGGGGAACCATTTCTACACTGTATTGTTACATGTGATGAAAAATGAATTCTTTTTGACAATCACACACATTCGGCACAATGGTTGGATAAAGATGAAGTGCCAAAACACAGTCCAAAAGTGAATATTCATCAAAAAAAGCTATTGGTGTCTGTTTGGTGGTCCAGTGCTGGTATTATCCGGTATAGCTTCATGAAACCTGGTCAGTCGATTACAGCAGATGTCTAGTGCAACCAATCGGACAGAATGATAAGGATGCCTGTGATTAAGCAGTCAAAATTGGTCAATAGGGACAGGCCAATCCTCTTGCAAAACCACATTTCACAAAAACAACACTGCTCAAACTACAGAAGCTGGACTTGGAAACTCTTTGTCATCCACCATATTCACCAGACCTAGCACCAACTGACCACCACTTCTTCCAAGCTTTCGAGCACTTCTTGCAAGGAAAACTATTCAATTCTCAATAAGATGTGTAGAACTCCTTTCACAATTTCATCATCATTCACCCTCCAGGCTTCTTCGCTGCTGGTATAAGCAAGCTACCATTAAGATGGAAAAACTGTGTTGATAGTTTAGGTGTATAATTTGATTAATTGTACTGCATCTTGTTTGACATATAATAAACTAAACTTTTGATTCAAAATCGGACATTTTATATTTCATGACCTAATATGTTTTAATGAGTGCCTTGGCCCTTGGTATTCTCTGCTGCCTTCCAAGTGCAGATAAATCCACAGCTTTGAAAACCATACTAGC